TCCGCCATTGCTCATATCTAAAGAGAAAAAAAATACGAAGAGGATCAGATTGAATAACTCTAGATTTCCTTCTCAGCTACTCTACAAAATAGCTGAGAGCTGAGAGAAAGTCGGCTCATAGAAAATGAAAAACTACTGATTTTCTCCATCTTTCCAAACCTATGAAAATAAAAGCATCCTTTCTTCTCTCCACTATTCTCCCTTTTGTTTTACCTGGCCTAAAGTGATCCAGAAATAATTTTCTTCAAAGATATGTAATTCAGTAAAATGAACATACAGAAATGTATGATGTATTACAAATTCTGTTTTACTTTTGGTCTGATACTACAACTTCCATAATTATTACACAATTATCTCATTCTGGTATTGTTTATATATGAAAGATGACAATGCCATACTAATAATACAAAAGGCAAACAATATGCAGGCAACAGGATAATGTCATTAAATTTTACTCACGCAAATACCAGCACATAATTTGAGTTTATATAATCAACCAAGTTATATACAACACCAGTTTACAAAAAATCCGTTCTTAAACGACCCTTATCGAGTCTAGTTCAACATGTCAAAAAGAATTTTCAAAATCCTAGACCCCGTTTCATCAATAGCTGAAGAAAGAGCTGTAGATTTCTCTAGGCTAGCCTTTAATGATTGCTGGGTAGCTTTGAGTTTCTCAAAACTTTCAACATCAACCATTGCCAAAAGAACTATCTATCTATCTATCTTTCTTTCTCAGAATCCCCAACAATTAACTGAAATAACTTGTGTCACCTTTTATAGTGCACTAAGATTTTAGAAGAGTGCAGTACAAAATTCTGTCATGGTTTCTTCTAAACTACTCAAACTTACCAAATCAAATTAAGAGAATAACCATATTCAAAGCAACCCTCAGTTGCAAGATAAACACTACAATACATAAATACCAAATTATATACATACATAAACAGCTAGACTATCTCCTAGCTTCTGTGGAATTCTGAAAATTGGTAGTTTTGTACACAAAAACTCATCTCCAAAGAAAGATTTAGGGCGCTGTCCTAAAATTGTTTGCCCATAATTAACTTTTCAAAAGTCCTCCAAATTTTGTTAGAACATCATTAATATAACTTCAGTATGGTGAAGGTTACGAAAAGTTTATTTGTTGATCTTTTTTTTTTTTTTTTGGGTTTCCAGAAGTAATTGTTTCTTTTGCGTATATAAATATCAAGGACAAACAAACAAATGGTTAGTAAGTATGGCTGCATAATCAAATAGTCACAAATACAAATCAAAATATAAGATACAAAATTAATTACTCCGTTTTTTGTTTTTTCTGAATCATCAAAATTAATTACTCTTTTTTTTCTTGCACCCTAACCCTAAACCCAACCTCATTTTCAATCTGTTAGATCAAAGCACAGAAAAACATTGTTTGAAAGAGAGAGATGGACCTGGAGTCCTGGAGCTTGGCAGTGGACTTCTTTTCGACACCGAGAACGATGGTGTCGGTGCCACGTACGCCGACGGCGGCGTTACCCTTGCGCACAGCTTTTAGATGGAGATCGATTTTCGAATCAAAACAGAAGGGAAAATGCTAGGGAGACCAACTTGGGAGACCAACTTGGGATACCAACTCTCTAATAGAGAGTGGGACCCATTGTATTGGTGGGCTCCACCTCTATTAGAGAGTTGGTACCCAAGTTGGTCTCCCAAGTTGGTCTCCCTAGCATGACCCAAAGAGAAGAAGGCGAGGAAACAGGTGAACAATGGAAGCGGATGGAAAGAAGAAGGCAACGAAGAAGGTGAACGATGGAAACAAAAACTGAAGGCTTGGGCAGATGGTTCTGCAAAAACGTCGAACAAAAATTTCGAGTGACTAAAATATTAGAATCAAGGAGAATTGAAATATATGTACATCACTTGTGTAAACCACAAAAATTAATGCAAGGCAAATGCTTTAAAATCAAACACATTGGCTCAAAGGAATGAAACCAAATTGCATTCTAAAAGACGTTTGAGAAAAATCATATTTTAAAAGAAGAGTTGATAAATTTTCTTTAAAATTGAATCATAATTGAAAACAATTATGAGAAAGGAAACTTTGCCCAAATTCAATTCAATCAACTACCACTTAATATAGAGAAATTGAGTGAAGAAATAAGCTGTGAACGATGAAATATTATGTATGTAATGTGTACGTTAATGAGATGAATGAATTGAAAAGAAAAGAGCATAAACTCTGATGTGGAAGTAGGAGAGGCAATTTTGGAACTGCCATGGGCTTTTTTCTTCTTCAAACTGATAATTGGTAAATTGTTAGAATCAGACACATTTTCTTATCTGGTTTTATGTTTATCATCGGCAAGACAAACACTTTCATAAGAGATTTCTATACCATTTGAAATGGCAAAACTATGAGCTTCTTGCATCAGCTGATTTCGTTTGCTATCTCTAGTCCTTTTACGCATTATGCACAGAAATTTTAAACCCCAGGCAACAGATTGATAACTGGAAAGGAGAAAAAACATGCATTTATAAAATTTTAAATTATCAATCACATTTAAACTGTAATTAAGCAAAGCAAATGCACCGTGATATTGACAGAACCACAGAAATGAGAATTTTCAATTGTCATAATATTTGGCAATCAATAAGCTACAGCCACCATGCATGCAGTCTTTAAAAAAATGGATGAAACACTAACCTGTAGTCAAAGAAGCTATCAAGCATTTCCAAAAACAGCCACACAAAAGCAGGATCACAACAGCTATCTAAAATACAAAGATAGAAAAACAAAATTAGGTTAATAAATATAATTTTGATTTTGCTTGTGAGATAAGACAGTCTCAATTAATTAATTAATCTGTTTCAATACTAATCTTGGTATTGAAGAATATCAAGAATATAGACCCCAACAGAAACTATACTTTTTGTTACATTTCCCTTTCTTACACAAACAAATGAAAACATGAAAATATGATTATACGAAGTGAAGACTGGTTTTTTTTCAAATTCCTTGAGAGGAGAATCACATGTTAATTGGTTGAAAAGTAACCAACACCATAAAGAGAAAAATAAATACACACATCACAACTCATTTCAAAATCCATATGCATGCAAAACAGTGTAGACCAATGCCAAATGTTCTGTAAAAAAACAAATTCCATAAAACCAAACATCGACCAAACCCTATATAATTAATTAACCCAATGTGATGAATTTGTTTCTGGAAATTAGTTCAACGGCCCATAATTGTGACTTGCAACCAATCATTTGCAGAGGAGCAATTTGAAATAAAATCAAGCAACAACCTAAAGAGCGAAAAATAAAGACATTCTAGATTCTAAAACAGAGCTTTGAACAACCTGGTGATCCCCTAATTAGAGCATTAGTGCCACATGTGCTACATCTTTGACAGTGTTTTGATGTGTAGCCAACCTTTTAAAAAAAAATCTCATCCTCATTGTTAAAAATTGATGATCTTTTCCCACTTTAAAGTTATTTCCACTATGAATTGAAAACAAAAAAAACATTTATTAAGAAAAAGTTCTTTCACTAACTGTATTGCAATGGGGATGCTACACTGTCTACAGGGACGGATCTACAGAGGAGCAAGGGTGGTCAAGTGACCCCTGCAACCTCTGAAATCTGCCATTGAAGAGGAGAAAATTGACCCCTGCAAAGTGTTTGATGAAAGTCCCCAAAGAGCCAAAGTCTGCTTCTCCAGCGCGCAGCCCTCTTGCGCGCTTTCCCTTTTTTTTTTTCCTCCTCGACATCAAAACGACGTCGTTCTACTAATGTCTTTTTTTTTTAAAAAAACCTGGCCAAAACGACGTCATTTTGGCTCAGGTTTGGCTCAGGATTTAAAAAAAAAACAAAAACAAAAAATTGGGCGCAGACTCTGTTTAACACAGAGAGCCCGATACCTCCCCTCCTCATATCAGTTTCAGCTCCATTTTGAACCCTAAATCCCCAAACCCCTAATCATATTGAACCAATCTTCACCCAATCCGACGAACGGCTTCTCTAATCCACCCATCCGGGGCTGGCGACAGCGACACCTTAGTGGCGGCAACAAAGCAAAAAAATCAACCCCAAATTCAATTTGATTTCAAAGTTGAATTTGTCTTTCAACAGGCTCCAAGGACAAATTCCAAGGTTCGGGATTTAAAGGTTAGTTGCTTATTTGTTTACTAGCTTTCCCAAGCAGTTATTAAGTTGTTTTTGCTTAGTTCTCACATTTCGTAACAATTTCACATTTCGTAGCAGTTATTAAGTTGTTTTTGCTCTTCACTATTCATGGTATTGTGAAATAAGGGGTAGCTAAGCTAGATACCCTATTATCTGAAATAATTCTTTTTTTTTTGTTTTTTTTATTGTGATACAATGGGAAATTCAATAATTGAATAATGTATTGTTGGCTGTTGCATGAGAAACCGGGCAAAAACTGGTTTTTTTATTGTGATAGAATGGGAAATTCAATAATTGAATAATGTATTGTTGGCTGTTGCATGAGAAACCGGGCAAAAACTGAAAACTGTGATAAGAATATGTTTTGAATTAGTTTTTGTGTTTGTTAATTTATGAAGATTCTTAAATATTATTGTTTTATTACTTCTTGTGATTTTATTTTGATTAGTTTGAATAAATTAGGGATTTGTTTAATAGATTGTTTTTATATTTGTTAGTTTGTATGCTCTATTGATTATTTCTACCATACATATACAGTTATGGATCGATATTATAAGAGAAAGTTTTCATCAACTACTTCTAGTTCGGATAATGTGGGTAGTTCAAGTGTAAGAGATGTGGGTATTTCGAAAGATGTGGTGGGTAGTACGAAAGAAAGTGAGTTGCAAGATGTCTTGGCTAATCTTCCTGCAGACCCTGGACTTCGGCCCCAATTGTTGGATTATGATCCTAACATTCGAGACGAAGTTCGAAGGGCATATCTACAAAAAGGTCCATGTCAACCTAAAGATCACACATTTCCACAAACCGATCTTTCAGGGTATGATCGACGCTTTAATGTCAAGTGATTTGATGAGTTTGACTGGTTGGAGTACAGTATTAGTAAAGATGCTGCATTTTGCCTTTATTGTTATCTCTTCAAATCCAATTTCAAAATTGGTCAAGGGTGTAGTGATGCCTTCACAGAGATGGGTTTTAGAAATTGGAAGAAGAAAGATAAAATTAGGCAACATATTGGAGGTGTTGGGAGTGTTCATAATCAATCTAGACAATATTGTGTGGATCTTATGAATCAGAAGCAACACATCCAAACAGTTTTGATAAAGCAATCAGACCAATCTCGCATTGATTATCGTATTTGCTTGACAGCTTCTCTTGATTGTGTGAGATTTTTGTTGAAGCAAGGTCTTCCTTTTCGTGGTCGTGATGAGAGTGACACTTCAATTGAAAGGGATCGGTGGCCTTGCAAGAAAAATGATTATTCTCAATTGAAAGGGATCGGTGGCCTTGCAAGAAAAATGGTGGAGAAAGGGTTGCATAGAACATTTAATTATGTCTATTCGCTTCTGACATTAGCCTTAACTTTACCGGTTGCGACTGCTTCGGTGGAGAGAGCATTTTCTGCTATGAATGTTATCAAAGGTCCACTTCGCAACCGAATGGGAGATCAATGGTTGAGTGATAGCTTACTTGTTTATATTGAGAAAGATGTGTTTGTTAGTATTGATAATGAAACTATTATGGGACGTTTTCAGAATATGAAAACTCGTCGTGGACAATTGTAATGTGGTTTTTTCTATTAATTATGAATTATAAATTATCTTCTCATTTTTATGAGTTTATTTTTGTATAGAAAGTTTTTACCCTTTTAGACATTGACCCCTGCAAGGAAAATTCCTGGATCCGTCCCTATCTCCAAATACATCATATCTTCCATAAACTAAAAGGAAAAAGTCAAAAATATTAATATGTCATCAAAGATTTGAAAATTCTATCTCATAACCCTACACCACCAAAAACGAAGGTCAGTGCTACAGTCAAAGAATAAAAACTAAAATTAATAGAGAAAATTGAACCTGATTTGAAGCTTACCAATATGTTGTGATATATAAATACCTCAGCTCTTATATAGCCTTAGGGATTACCCAAGAACCTGAAATCAAATTAACCAAATAAATGAACCTAAATTAACCAAATAAATGAGCCCCAATTCGTACAAAGGACAAAAAATCTCCCAGCCAACAAACAAATTCTTCAAAAACACTTAGATTCAAAATGCCATCTTTGTACCAAAATCTCCAGTTTTTAGCGTTTCACTTTCACTCTGTCATCAAATTCAGACCCAAAAACAAATTGTATGTGCAAGGAAGAATAAAAGGCGAGTTGTGTCTCTAAGATTACCAAGATTGTTGCGCCAATTGATGCCCGTCGTCGTGTCTAACCTCAAGATATTGCCTCATCCGCTGGATCTGGTTATCGAAGAAATTTGCAGTGGAGATGGCAATGGAGGGTGTTTGGGAATTTGGAAGGGTTTTGAAGGAGGAGGAGGCTTTGATGGGTTCGGAAGGAAAAGAAACATAAAGTTGCTCTTAGGGAAATGGAAGTCGAAGCCTATGTTGCACCGACACTCCAAACTGCTGGAGTGTCGGAGTGTCGGACACGCCGACACGCCAACGACACGCGTTGGACACGGTCAACGGCTGGGACACGATCAAGACACGTCGCTGACACGGTCAAGACATGGCTCCAACACGGTCAAGACACGGCAGGGACCAGATTGAAATTTTGAAAATAAAAGTTGGGGTCTAAATGTGATTTTTGAAACTTTAATGGACTGATTTGAAATATTTTTAAAAAGATGGGTTAAAAGTGGAAAAATACTTTTTAAACCTAAATGAATCCCACATTTTTCCCTTTGTTTTCAAATTCTTTTTTTATGTTCTCTATCTCTATTTTCTTTTGAGTGCTGCTATTTCCACCCCAATGTCCTATTTTCCACCCACCTTATCTTCACACCCACCATTTAAATTTTAAAAAATACAATCTTATCTTTCCACCCACCATTATTCCTAAAATACCCTTAACACCTGGACATTCACTTAACACTTTTAACCCTAACTTAACACTGTTGAGTACAAAAAAATTAAAAAATAAATGAATACAGAAAATTAGAAAATGAAGAGTTTTAGCAGCCACCCGCCGCACAGTCCATTAAACCTAACAAGAACCACGTACCTTCCACCGCCAGCCAAGCCGCCGTCGCCTCCTCCTCCTCAGTTGTATTAAACAAAAGCTTCAAAACTGCTTCAAACCCTCTGTCAAACCTTTGTTATGTTATGACCCACTAAGTCCACCTAAATCCCAATCTAACCTTCTTCTCCATTCACTATTTCAATCAACCCACGAATAAATAAACAAGGATTTAAAAGGTTTGTATCTGGGGTTCTCTTTGAGTTTCTGTTTTAGTAGTTCAACATTTTGCCTAAGCCTCAATGACAAATCAACCTCCTAGTGTGATGGTTGCCTATGTACTGACTAGACACAGAAGGCTAGAAGAACACAACATACGTGCATCAAATGGTAAAAGAATGGCCTGGCTTATTTGTCAGAAATATAGTCATCTAATACACAATTGGTCGCGTGGGTAGTCTGGTCGCCCTTTCCTTCTCAAGTTGCTCAGTTGGGAGAGAGATGTGGCTGGCGGTGAGGTGAGGAGGGGAGGTTGGTTGTCGTGGGGTCGAGTGGGTTGTTTGGTGGTTGTTTCCTGGGTATATTTTTTTCTTTCTTTCTAATTTTTTTTTTAACTTTTATTTTGAATTAACAGCGTTAACTTAGAGTAAATTAGTGTCTAGGTGTCAACAAATTAGCTAAGGAACTGAAGTCTAGAATAAGTGGGTTGCGTGACTGTTGCGTAGATACAGCTGCACCAAAATGGATTCAGTTGCATCCTCAACTTGTGATACTCGCAAGTGCACGAGCCGTTTGGTAGTATAGCATATGTAAGTGCGAGGTCGATTCCACAGGGATTGGTGATTGAATGATCCAATTCAGTTTTCCTACACAAAACAGAAACGAAAACAAAGAACATGAAAGAAGGAAGAAAATAAGAAAGTAACTCAAGCAAATAAGTTCCCAAGTTCAATTTAGATTAATGGATTGATTCTAGCTAAAGTATGATTAAGCCATGGTGTGTGGTCATAACCTTGTGTTCCTAATTCCCTAATTTGATCATTTGTTGTCTAACCTAAAATTAAGCATTAGGAACCCATTAAGCATAGAAGAACAATTTAAACAACCAAGCATGTATCTAATCCCTGTTGTCGAATGTCCATACATACTCTTCCTATTCATAGTTCAATTCGAATTAAAGCATGGTGTATACTCTTAATTCAAACCAAGATAG